GCTGAGGGAATTCGACACATCATCTAAGGTAGAGAACCCATGGCCGAATTTCACCTCTCTCCTCTCTCTCAAATCATCCTCTTTGCTAGTTGGTGTTTGTAAGCCATTAGAGGAGCGACAATTGTGACTCTAGAGCTCCAAGACAACAAGATCAAACAAGAGAATCAAAGGTATGTTTCTAGATCTGATTTTTGTGTTGTTCTTATACCTAATAAGTCATTAGAAGTCTTGGATTCAAAGCATGTTTAATAGAGAAATCTAGATCCAAACATTAGGGTTTGTATGCGCACTTAGGAATGTTCTTATGTACAAAACCCATCAGTGGTATCAAAGCCTTGATTGGTTTATATTAAATTGATGCTTGAATGTTTGAATCATAACTGAAAAATTCGATTTTTATGTTTCTGAGTCATGGACTCGGCGAGTCCCATAATGGACTCGGCGAGTTGGCCTGACTCGGCGAGTCCAGCGTGGGTAATCGGCGAGTCCGAGCGTCTGGATTAGCCAAAAATGGGATTTTTTCATATTTATCTTATTGAAACTTACCTTAATCATATTAGATCAACCCTAATCCGATTTTATGATATATATGACTATATTTTTGATCTAATTGAAGATAATTATCAATTAAGAAAATATTTGATTTCCTTATATGATAATTATTAATCAAATATGGATAATTATGTGATTTAGATTATTTGTTATTTGATCCTTTATGTTTTAAATGTTTAAAACTTGTCCTCAAGTTTTGAAATTTATGTTTTGTGATTAAAAGTTTAATTTAGACAATTTAAATTTCAAACCCTAGAATTTTACAAGTTTAAAATACAACCCTATACTAATATAATATTACAAGATTAATATATATATATATATATATATATATATATATATATATATATATATATATATATATATATATATATATATATATATATAACTTAAATGCTAGTCTTACCGTTAGTAGGCCTCATTCACGAAGCCGGTCTATAAGGTGGGTATAAGGTTGCGGCCTATAAAATGACACTTAATGGGTGTACACTCACACCCACTGCTCGCTTGATTGGTGGAGGGTCGTTAGCCGAACGGGTAGGATAGGGCAACCTCATCCTCTCATTAAAAGTATAATAAGAAATACAAAGTAACTACATGTTTTCTTAAAGTTTCCCAATCTTAGTTACTTTAGGAAAAGTGAATTGATGCAATCCCATGAAATTACACTTTGCACCTTGCTAAGAAGTTAGTGGAGCGTGTGTGGTTTACCGACACACTAATTGGTTCTAAGCGAACGTGGCAAAGGGTGATTCATTGTTTATCATAGTTCGATGGAGCATGTGTGGTTTACCAGCACATCGAATAGGTGATCGTTACAATTAAAGCACCATGTGAATTTGCATGGTAATTCACACCCGCTTTGTGATCCTCGGTATCCCAATCATAAACAAGAGGGGCATATCGAGATTTAAGCATGCCATTGAAAAGTTTCAATGAATCTCATCCGAATCTAGGAATTCTCAATACATTCATGGTGGAGAATTAGTGAATCGTCATTCACTTACCTTCAAATTGTTTGCATGTTAGATTACGACATCCCTTTTCTAATGTGTAAATATTGTTGTTGGATCCTAGCCCTAATTTTCTTATTAGGTGAATATTAGGGATTCATATTCTAATCTATCTTTGTCCTTTCTATTATAGATGTCGAACGCCAACAATGCTGCTATGAGTTCTTTCACTTTGAGGAGCCTTTGTCAAAAGGTCACCTTTGATGGAATGAACTTTAGCGAATGGATAAGATACATTCGCACGATTGCTCGCTATGAGGATAAGGAGTATGTCCTCGATGAGAAGCTCGAGAAAATCAACCCCGAAATTGCTACTCCCGCCGAAATCACCGCTTTCGAAACTCACGAGCGTGATGCAACGAAAGTGCATTGCATCATGATCGCGACTATGAACTCCGAATTCCAAAAGTCCTACGAGGACATGTATCCGTACGAAATGCACCAAGACTTATTGGAGAGATACCATCAAAACGCGAGACAAGAGCGTTATGAGATTTTCACAAACATGATTTCCGCTAAGATGGGTCATGGAGAGTCTCTTACCGTGCACTTGCAAAAGATGCAAAGATATGTCGATCGCCTTTGCAAGTTAAATGTTGACTTTGGGGAAGACTTGGCAATTGACATGGTGCTTCATTCTTTGCCTCCGAGCTACAATCAATTTAGGATGACCTATCACATGAACAAAGAAGAGGTCACCCTAAGCAAAATCCAAGGTCTCTTGAGGGTCGCTGAGAGCAACTTCAAGGACAAGTCTGTTGCACCAACTCCCAATCTACCCGCTGCTCCTGTGTTGGCAATTGGACAAGGAAAGGGAAAGAAGAGGAAGGCTTCGTCAAAGAACCATCGCAAGGTGAAAGCTTGAGATGGTGCCTCTTCTAGTGGGACCAAAGTTGATCCCGCTAAGCCCTGCTCCAAACCGAAGGAGGCAGAGTGCCAACCACTACCACAAGATAGGACATTGGAAGAGAAGCTTCCCGGAATACCTACAAGCCATCAAGGAAGGAAAGATCAAGCCATCTTTCGCAGGTATATATACAATTAAATCTAATGATTCCCACAATACTTCTTGGGTTCTTGATACTGGTTGTGGTTACCACATTTTTTCTAATGTGCAGGGACTAAGAAGAAGTAGAGACATGGAGCATGGAAGAATAAATCTAATCATGGGGAACAAAAGATCGTCGCCTGTGACCAAGATTGGAGTGTATTCTTTAGTGCTTAGGAATAGTTTATCTTTAGATTTAAACAATTGTTGCTATTCGCCAGAAATGGCTCGAAACATCATTTCTTTTCATGGTTTGTTTAGACAAGGTTTTAGATTTTCTTTTAATAATGAGAATGGTTCTATTTTAGCTTATCTAAATGTTGTCTTTTACTTTGAAGCTATACCATGTAATGGAATTTATGAAACTGTTATGATTGTTGATAACTTAGGAAATGATGTTTTGTACTTGGATTCTTCCAATAGTATGGATAAGGCATCCTTATGGCATTGTCGTCTTGGACATGTCAACAAGAAACGCATAGCCCAACTCCAAAAGGATGGAGTGTTGGAGTCATCCGACCTTAGGGAAGATGACACATGCGAGTCTTGTTTACTTGGAAAGATGACTAAGGTGCTGTTTGTTTTTCTGAAGCCAAAACGTCTGCAGTCTGCGGACCACATCTGCAAGCCTCTGTAACAGAAGAGGTGGACCAAACGTCTGCAGTCTGCAATAAGAAGATTGTTTGTTTTTTAATGTCTGCAGGCTGTTGAAATAAACTGAATTTTTAATAAAATTATTTTACAAACTTAAAAAGATTTCTCAAAACCAAAAATTTAATAAAATAGTCATATAACATTGGAAATAAAATTCATGCAATAAAATTAGTCATACAATTGTAAAAATTTGGTTTTGCAATAACAATTTCATTTAAAACAATTCAATGCATATTGTGCATCAGCTGATCAGCAATTTCATCTCGTAACCGTGTCATATATTCACGGTCTGCTGCAGTACCATTTGTTGGAATCTCATCTTCATCATGATTAATGGTCACATTGTTATTTCGAAACGAGACATTGGCTTCATCGTATCGTGCAAAATACTCATCACTCAGTCCTTCTCTCCTTATAAAATTATGAAGCGCGAAACATGCCATGAAAATGTTTCTTTGTGTCACAAACGAGAATGGTGCCATCCTCTTCAATATAGGGAAACGTGCTTTCAAAACACCAAAAGCATGCTCAATGACATTCCGAAGTTTAGCATGTCCATGGTTAAATTTTTCTTTATTGGTCAATGCACGTCTTTTACGAAAATCTCCAAGCCAATACCTCACATTACGATAAGGGGCCATAAATCCTCGAGTGTGTGCATACGCGGCATCACAAAGATAATATTTGTTTGTAAAAAAATGCAAAACACTAATCAATTTTGAAACGAAGATAAATTTTTTTTATAAAAAAACAAAAAATTACCTGGTGGTGGAAACGGGAATGAAGCTTGTGGATCAGATACTGCTTCTGATAAAATTCTAGAGTCATGTGCTACCCCTTCCCACCCGGCCACAACAAATGTGAACATCATATTGAAGTCACAAATTGCCAATACATTTTGGTAGCAATCTCCCTTTCCCCTACTTCTATATAAGTCTTGTTTCTTAGCAGGGACAACAGCATGTATCAAAGTTCCATCAAGTGCACCAACCGCTCCTTTGAAAACCCGTCGTAGCCTCCTATTATGTCCTGGAATGTTTGGATTCAGATTAAAAGAATTTGGTACTATAACATCTTGTGCGAAAAGCATCATTTTTTCGAACACTTCATAAAAAGATTTATAAATTGTTTGCTTCGAGTGTTGAAATCTCCGCTTAATAATCACGCAACGTTGATTATGGCCGATCATCATAAAAAACATAGCCATCTTTTCCTCAACCGATACATGTTTGCTGTCCTTTAATAAGTAATGTGCTCTAAAATGAGCACATAGTCGTACAAATGAGTCGCGGGACATGCGTAACACTTCAACACATTGTAAACGATTACGATGTAATAACTCCAATGTGTATTCATGTCCCGTCATTTCCGAATCATTATCCCGCAATCGTTTCACACCCCTCTTCCAAAAATAATGGATGTATAGGTACATAAGAATTACAAGAAGTAACTTTGATCGTGATCCATTATGAACCTAAAAACAACAAAGTAGAACTTTAAAAAACATTAAATTAATCATATTTCAAGTAGCAAAAAAAACGCTACATAAATCATATTTCAAGTAGCAAAAACACATTAGATAAAACATATTACATGTAGCAAAAACACATTAGATAAAACATATTCCAAGTAGCAAAATAACAAAAAATAGTTTCAACAAAGACAAAAAGACCTAACAAAATAGTTCAAATAGAAGCAAAAGGACCTAATATATAGTTTCAACACAATAAAAATCATCGGACAATCTTTCCGTCCTTCAAAACTCCTAAACTTGTACCCGTCATCTCAAGCCATCCTCGTAATATCTCGGGAACATCGGGAAAATGCATCCACATCTCTCTCATGTTCATAGTCCCACCAAAAATATGATATGCAACAAAGCGTAAAGGCTCTGTAGGGCCTAACTGTAGCACCTCTAATTTCTCTAAACATTGAGGAATTGTATACCCTTTAGTCAAACTTTGTAGAGCTTTTTTCATTTCAAATGCTAAATCGTCAGCAGTAACAGAAGTTCCATCCGGTGAAGAAGCAGACGGTGAGGTACTAGGAGCTTTAGGAGTTGAGGGTTTAGCCCTTTTGTTGGGGTAACCGGATGGTGAAGCAGCAGAAGGTGAAGCATCAGATGGTGAAGCAGCAGAAGGTGGTTACTCATGAAAAGTCTCACTAGCATGATGAGAAGTGTCATCACCATTATCATCTAATGCAAGAAAAGGGGTGGCGGTAATCTGAAGTGGTGGAAGACGACAAGAGGATGCTCCAGCTACTGAAGATGATTGGGTTGAGTAACTCCTAAAATTACCGGTGGCACTATTTCCATCAAAAAGACGAGCACAAATATCTGGAAAAGGCAGTGGCATTGTTTTCAACGAAGCAGCCTTTGGATGCCCCTAAACCCAAATATAACAAAAAATAGTGTAAGAATATTTGGCAACTTCAAACGTAAATGTTTAAAAGTGTTTGTTTGAGATTGTACCTTCTTAAAACCATCCCACTCCTCGACTGTTAAGTTAAAAGTGTTTGTTTGGGAATTGTATATATTACCAATTTTGTTTTTTAAATATACCCATCTTGTGTATTTGGCTTTCAGATTGTCATATGCATTTTTCATTTGTTTTTGACTCAAGTCAATGCCAAATTTTTCCTTAAGAACTCTTCCAAGCCTTATCCATGAATCTTTCTGCAAACTCAATCCTTTTCTACCAACACTCTCTACTTCTTCAATACAAGTATCCACTAAGCATTTTAATTGCTCATTGGTCCATTGATGTTTATCTCCCATTTCTAATAACCAATATAGCATTCACAATAAACAGTCAACAACTAACGCTTTTCAACAACAATTTTTAGCACATTCAACAACAATTTGAAACAACAATAAGTATTTTCAGCCTCCTATTTCCACAAAAAAAAATTTAGCATATTCAGGCAAACAACAAACAACAATCTAACAGCAATCTTAGCAAAAAAAAAAAAAAACAATCAAACAACAATTTCAACAAATTAGAATTTTCATCAAGACAAAACTTGATTTCAACAACTAAGGGAACATCAGATTTAGCTTTGAATTTGATGAAGTTATGTTATTATATTTATAGCCACTGAAATATTTGTAATTGTGCGTATAATCCCCTGGCAAAAGCAAACCTAAATTATACTGCTCAAGCACTCATTATATCTGCTGGTATGCTCCAAATTTTAAACTTTTCAATTGATTTTATATAGATATAGTATGATTTTATAAAGATTCTTGTAGATGTGATTTGATTTTGATTTGATTATTGAAACAACATCCATTGCTGCATACTTTATCACTGCTGAAAAAACTATATAGGAGTGTGCAAAGAAAAAACACACGCACCCTTTATGATAAATCCTCTTAATAAATCAAACAACAAGTTGAATTGAAATTGGATTCAAAGAGACAGGAGGCGACGGCATACCTGTTTGTTCGCTGCAATCGAGAAGTGAAGCTTGCTGTTCGGAGGTGACGACCGTAGATGCGATCGGAGAGGAGGGTAGCGACGGGCGGTGCGGCAACAGATCGGAGGTGATGGTCGGTCGACGAAGGTTGCTGGAGTGAAGATCGGACGTGTTGGAATTGTCGAGCTATGTGTACGAAGACAGGAGGTTTGGACGAATGGAGGCGGAAACAAAAAAAACGCGTGTCTTTTTTTAGGTCAAAGGAACTTGGCAGAACTTTAGAAGAGGTTGGCCCTTATCTGTGTGGTGAAGACCTCACGCAGACATTTTTATGTCTGCGCACTTCAGAAAAACAAACACACTTGAAACCTATAAGTCTGCGCGTGGTCTGCGCTGCGCAGACAAAAGACCTCCCGCAGATCTGCAGAGAAAAAACAAACACCCCCTAAGTCACCCTTCGCTGGTACGTGCGAAAGGGGTGAGGGTCTATTGGACCTCATACATACCGATGTATGTGGACCGTTTAGATCTACCACAAAGGATGGTAACCGCTTCTACGTGACTTTTACCGATGAGTATAGTAGATATGGGTATATCTACTTAATCAAGCAAAAGTCAGAAACTTTTGAAAAGTTCAAAGAGTTTAAGAATGAAGTGGAGAATCAATTAGGTAGGAAGATCAAGATGCTTCGATCCGATCGAGGAGGAGAGTACCTAAGTCTTGAATTCCACGATTATCTCAAGGAGTGTGGATAGTTTCACAATTGATGCCACCTAGGACACCACAATTGAATGGTGTGGCAGAAAGGCGTAATCGAACCATGTTGGACATGGTTCGCTCTATGATGAGTCGTGCTTCACTATCTATCTCTTTTTGGGGGTATACCTTAGAGACTGCCGCCCATATCCTTAACCGAGTCCCTACTAAGAAGGTTACCAAAACACCTCACAAGATGTGGACGGGGAAAGCTCCTTCGTTAGCACATATCAAGGTTTGGGGTTGCGAGGCTTTTGTAAGACGAGATACTCACGACAAGCTCGAACCTCGTAGTGAGAGATGTATTTTCATCGGCTACCCGCAGAAATCCTTTGGATATCTCTTCTATAGACCAAAGGAAAATGTTGTCTTTGTTGCGAGTAGAGGAGTTTTCCGAGAGCGAAAACTCATAGGCCAAGGAGATAGTGGGAGGCAAATCGATCTTGAAGAGATTCAAGAGTCGATAGATGAAGGAACCTCTACCACTGGCGCTCAACCTGAGGAGGAAACTATGGTTGAACCAATTGACATATCATTACCTCTTAGACGTTCCGAGAGAGTTAGGTTTCAACCCCAGTTGTATGGTTTTCATATTACTACCGAAGGGGACACGTATATTAGTGATAGTACACTAATAAACCTTGATGAACCTAATAGCTATAAGGAAGCCATGGCAGGACCGGAGTCTGTGAAATGGAAAGAGGCAATGGATAGCAAGATCCAATCCATGTATGATAACCAAGTTTGGAATTTGGTTGATAATATGCCCGGACGTAAGACCGTTGGGTGCAAATGGATCTTCAAGAAGAAGACCGACGTGGATAGAAAGGTACACACGTTTAAAGTGCGATTAGTTGCGAAGGGCTTTACTCAAACTCCCGGAGTTGACTATGAAGAGACCTTCTCACCAGTTGCGAAGATAAAATCTATTAGAGTGATGCTAGCTATTGCCGCATTTCATGATTATGAGATTTGGCAAATGGATGTCAAGACCGCTTTCCTTAACGGAAAGTTAGCTGAGGATGTTTACATAGCCCAGCCAGAGGGGTTTGTGGATCCGAAGCATCCGAATAGAGTGTGTAAGCTTGAGAAGTCCATTTATGGACTAAAGCAAGCGTCTCGCAGATGAAATCTTTGCTTCGATGAGAAAGTCAAAGAGTTTGGATTTGTACGAAGCGAAGATGAATCATGTGTATATGTCTAAGCCAGTGGGAGTGTAGTAAGCTTTCTCGTTCTATATGTCGATGACATATTACTCATAGGAAATGACGTCCCGACTCTGCAGGAAGTTAAGTCCTGGCTCGGAAGTGCTTCGCTATGAAGGACCTCGAAGAGGCTTCCTATTTTGGGAATAAGGATAGTAAGAGAGAGAAGTAAGAGACTAATAGGACTTAG